CGCCGTCTGTGGGCTGGAAGGGCCCTCACTCCCGCTGCCCGCCCGCAGGACCCCTCTTCACGCCGCTGCCTTCGCGGACAATGTCTCTGGCCTCCGAATGCTGCTGCAGCATCAAGCCGAGGTGGACGCCGCCGACCACACTGGCCGCACCGCGCTCATGACGGCGGCCGAGAACGGGCAGACCGCTGCTCTGGGTGTGTGGGGCTCCGGCCGGGGCGCGGGCGGGGGGCCGGGATGCGGGGGCGCGTCCGGCGAGCTCGGCATGCCGCTGGGGGGCGGGTGGGCGGGAGTCAGCCCCTCCGCCCCTCCACAGAGTTCCTGCTGTACCGGGGGAAGGCGGACCTGGCCGCGCTGGACGAGAACAAGAACACTGCCCTCCACTTGGCTTGCAGCAAGGTGCCGCGGGCGTGGGGCGGGTCTGGGCGCGGCCTGGGTGGCGGCAGGACGGAGCCCGGCCCTCCCCGTCCTGCCCAGCACCTGCGCTGCCCGTCTCTCCCGTCACGAGTCCCCTCTGCTCCTCTTCCTCAGGGCCACGAGAAATGTGCCCTCATGATCCTGGCAGAAACCCAAGACCTTGGCCTTATCAATGCTACCAACAGCGCACTGCAGATGTGAGTGCCCGGGGCGGGGGCTCCTGGCTGGGGGAGGCAGGTGGGTGAAGCAAGCCCCGCGCCCGCCCCGGGCTCCCGGAGCCCTGGCTTTGTTCCGTCCTCGCTGCTCTGGCCGAGGTGGGCAGGGCTGCTGGTGTCTCGCTGACTGGCGCCCCCTTCGCTGTCTTCCAGGCCACTCCACATTGCTGCCCGCAACGGTCTCGCTTCTGTGGTGCAGGCCCTGCTGAGTCGTGGGGCGACAGTGCTGGCTGTGGATGAAGAAGGTGGGTGGGGTCCGGAGCGCCCCGCCTCTCCCGGGTTTGGGGTCAGGGACCTTCTTCAGGAGGTGACTTCTTAACCTTGCTATACACTGGATTTCCTTCCCAAGGGAGTGGCTAGGGACAGGGATCGACGCGCTCGTCTCCAAGGGGTCCGGCCGCGTGGAAGCGAGCCGAGGGCCTCTGGAAGCCTCCTGCCCCCGTGCTCCGGCGTCCCTCGCGCCCTCACCGTCCGCCCAGCATCCCGGTTGCCCTTGAATTCTGACCACGCGGCGGGGGGGCTGCTTGCCTTGACCTCCCTGCACAGATTAGCGAGCTCAGGGCCAGGGGTGGGGGGGCGGGGGGGACGGGGCCCTGGAGGCAGGGCCTGAGCCTCAGGTCTCGCCTCGCCCACAGGTCACACCCCAGCACTGGCCTGCGCCCCCAACAAAGACGTGGCAGACTGCCTGGCCTTGATCCTCTCCACCATGAAGCCTTTCCCGCCCAAGGACGCCGTCAGCCCTTTCAGCTTGAGCCTGTTCAGTAACTGCGGCATCGCGGCAGCCAAGACGGTGGGTGGCTGCGGCGCCCTGCCCCGCGGGGCCTCCTGCCCCTACAGCCCGGAGCGGCACGGCGCCGTGGGCCTGGACGGCTGCTACTCCGAGTAGCCGCCCCCTCGCGCCGCGCGATAGCGTCCTCTATTTATTGAGAAGTCTATACATAGGGCACTTTAAAGGAGAACACGACTGGGGGGCGGGGCAGCTGCTCACCCTCTGCCGCACCGCCCGGCCTGGGGCGCGGGGGCCCAGGAAGCACCCAGGCGCTGTCCCCCAGGGCCCCTCCGCCAAGTGTCCCGAAATGATTGCTACTGCCTGGCTCCCGCTCTCCTGCGCCCCACCTCTCCGTCCCCTTCCGCCGCCAGCCCCAGCCCCCCACCCTCTGGCCTCCGCCCTGCCAGGCAGCCCCTCCATCCCGTCACTGCCTCCCTGCTCGCCGGCCCCTCCATCCCCGCAGCAGTGAGAAGCCTTAATTTCTGGTACTGTGTGAGCACTCTGGGGGTGTCCCCCTCCCCCTTCAGGGGCAGCTAGCAGATGAGGGGGGAGGGTACTTAGCACTGGGGCCTGGAGCTTCCCCCTACTTCTCTCCCCCATCGCCCCTCAAGTTCAAATGCAAAACACTTGAAGCAGCAGCTACTGTACCCGGGCCCCGCCCTCCCCTGGCTCCCCATATGCAAATCAAGGGCTGGTTCTGCCCCCACAGCCCCTCCGCCCCCCCACTCCTGGCCTGGCCCCCTAACCACGCACTTTAACCCTGCTTCTTTTTACTTCTTTTGGGGGGGCAGAGCCTGTGGCCATCCCTCCCTGGCTCTCCTCGCCCTTCACTCTGAGGCTTGTCATGAATTTTTCAGTAAGCATCTTACCCTCTAAGGGAAGAAACGAGCTTGATTCCTGCCCACTTCAGCCGCAGCACGAGTCC